CTATTTTCTATACATAATGTTAAAAACCCTTAACTTTGAAACTGAAGAATACTTTTTTAGAAAAGTACTCACAGAAAACATTCACAAAAAATTCATCATATATTAAATAATGAAGAAAACTTTTTAAATTCAAATAGGGAGAATAGTGCAGACAACTTTCTCTGGTCACGATATGATGAAATTTGCAATTAAGGACAAAACCAGGAAAAAAAAAAGCTCCTAACACTCAGAAATTAAAAAAAAAAAAGCAAACAAAAACAACAAAAATCTGTGTTGTAAACAATACTTGGGTCAAAGAAGAAAGAAATGCAATTCAAAAGTGCATAAAATCTAGACAGAAATCGTAATGAAAACACTCTAGAACAGTGCTCAGAAGAAAAATCACGGTTTTAAATATTTATGTTATCGAACAAGAAAGAAAGTGTGTACAGAATAAGTATCTAACTTAAGTAAGGAAAGGAAAACAAAATAAGCTTTAGTAAAGCAAAGATAGGGATTTGTAAAGATCAAAGCAGAAGTTAATAAGAAAGTGAAAAATGGTAGAAAAAAATAAATAAATCCAAATACTTGCGCTTTGAAAGAAAACCAGTAAAACATATGAATTATTCACAATCCTAGTAAAAAATTAACAGAAACCATCACCACCTAACGTAAGAAGAGTGATTATTGTGGCATTGTCGATGGGGTGGGGGAGGTGCCTGCGCGCGAGAGTCTTTCTTGATGTGGTTCCACAGGTGTATACGTGTGTCGAGTCACTGAGCTGTACACCTAAGATTTGTGCTGTACCGTGTATAAACTTCACTTGATAATAAAGAAAATAAGTAAAATCAAAAATCAAAAATGAATGTGAAGAGAATTGTGACTTGTATAGCAATTCTATTAAAAGAACTATGAATTATATTATAGCTCTAAATTTTAAAATCTGAATGAAATAAATGATTTTCTAGGAAATTATAGCCTATCACTACTGACTCCAGAAGAGAGACACATTTTAACAGGCTGGTTATTACAAAATTGTCACAAAGTAGCCATTCCTGCCTTCCTCCAACAAGAAGAAACAAAAGGAATCAAGCTGAGTTAGTTGCATGGAAAAATCTCCTAGCTCCTTACGATGCAGACACCGCCCACGCCGTGACACCCCCAGAGCATGGAAAGGCGGGAACACTTGCCAGATGAGCATCATACATGCACGCGTGTGCGGACTGCAGACCAGTCACGGTCGCACTGCGTCCACGTTCCCGTGTTGGGGGAAGAGGTCTCCAGGAGAGGCGCTGGTCTGATTTTAGGATATCAATTTCTAGGGTGTCTTCTCCATGTTTGCTAACATCCAGCGTTCAGTCTTGATGAGCAACTTAATATGAATATGTGGATAATTTCTCAGTAGGGTAAAACATATCTATTTCAACCCCAAACTGACGCACTATAGATTCAGTTCCAGTGAAGCCACAAACAAGGGTGTCCAGTATTACACCCATCCTTTAGCATTATTCTGGAGGTTCCCTGGTCATCAGAATTGGACAAGAGAAAGAAATCAAAGGTGTCAGTGTGGGGAGGAAGAGGCATGTTGCCCTCTGCGGCTGACGGGAGCGTGTGGCGAGACAGCCAGCCGCAGACGGTGGCCGTCAGCCAGGTAATGTAGTGAAGCGTGGGAAGCAAAACGCAGACAAACGTTAAAAGCCACATGTGTGCAAGAACAGCACGACAGACATCAGAGGAGAGACCGTGAGCCCCGCGTGCCTTCGGTTCCACACCTGTGGGTTCAGCCACCCATGGGTCGAGAACGTTTGGGGCGTATTTTGTCACCGTGTACCAGGCAGGTAGGCCCAGGCGGACCTACCTGCTTCTTGTCATTGTCCCTAAACAACACAGTGTTGCAGCTACTCCCGTGGCCTCCACGCTGCGCTGGGTGCCGGGAGTCACCTGGAGGTGGCCTGGCACAGGGGACCGGGTCAGGCGCGAGCACACGCACGGTCTTACGTAAGGGGCCCCAGCGTCTGCGGACCTGGGTGTCTGCGGGGCATAGGGACTCAGTCTCCCTTTGATACCGAGGGACAGCCGTGCTCCGGTCTACAACAGCAATGACCAAAAGAGGCGGAAGGACACGATGCCACGACTGAGGGCCCGCGGGGACGCAGCGGAGCTGGGCACAGTGGCCTTCCGCCGGCCGCTGCGAGGCACGGAAGATGACTCGTCACCACCCGTGGTGTCAGTTCCCCCAAAATGGTCTCTGCTTTGTAAGAACGTTTGTTTGTTTTAGGGCTGAAGGCGGGGAGAGAAAAGGCCCTACAATCCTGTGGACAGAGCAGTGGACTGGGCCAGGGAGGCAGAAGTGGCCTAGTTTCAAACAGAAGCAGAGGTGAAGTGTGGCCAGGGGGCCGTCGGGCCTCTGTGACCACACGAGGCCTCGTCCGGGGCGGTCTGGCAGCATCGGGCCCTGGGCCCTCGGCCTCCGCGGCAGGGCTCCTGAGACAAGCCTGCACACGTGGGGACCCGAGCGTCCAGGAGCCCACCCCGCAAAGGTCATCGTGAGCGGAACCTCACTGCAGAGGCAGGGCCGCCAGCGCTAGATAAGCAGCCCAGGTGGCATCGGGAAGGAGTGACAGCTGGACAGTCCAGGGGCGAGTGGCGGGGACCGCCTGGCTTGAGAGGAAGCCACGTCTGATTCCAGCCATCTGGGGAGCATCTGGGGAGGCCAGATGGTGGGGGGGGGGGCACTGGACACAGAATTGTTCCTCATCATGCCACTGTCTTGTGATGCCACTGTGTGGTCACTTAGTGCTTGCTCTGTAAAGTGGGTGCCGTCACCGTTGTGACAGAAGGCAGGCCGTGAGTGGCGCCTGTCGCCCATCAGTGCAGACAGCCAGCAGTCAGGGTCGGCATGCGGTGCCACGTATGAGTAGGTGCCAACCCTTCTCTCCCTCCGCGGACTTCGCCAAGGCTGCTGCAGGAGACGGTCGCAGAGGGCATGCCTGCTGTCCACGCCACGACCAGCTGGCTTTGGGCCAGCCACCTGTGTGTTGGTCCCATTTGGGACCGCAGAGGTTACTATTGGGGCTTCATAGACTGAATCCTGCACCCGAGACTCCCCAGATCTGGTGGCCCTGGGGAGCCTGTGCAGGAGGGACCTGGAGAGGCGTTGGGGGGAAGGCACTCCTCTCATTTAGGCTGAGGGCGGGGGCAGTGCAGATGCCTGCCCCACCCCACCCCCCTGCTAGGCCTTGCTCCTGTCACAGCGACCACATCCCGTTCACTCAGCTGAGGACAGCAGAGCCACTCCGTGCTGGAACAGGACTTGCGGGCAGTCGAGCCAGCCATGCGGCCTGGTCAGCGAAGCCCAGTCCCCAGCCGGCACATGTGGACGGGCAGGCCATGAGGAGCCGTCCTGAAACCACCTGCCTCCTTGCGGCCGTCGTGGAGGACGGGTCTGCGGCTTCCCTTTGGGGCTTCAGGACACGAGGCGCTGCATGGAGGGGCAGCATGCAGGTCACCCCCTTGACAAAGCGGGGACTCGCGCCTGCTCTGCGCTGGCCCCAGGCAGCCCCCTGCGGCCGTAGACACTCACTCAGTGGCCTGTCCGGGGCTTCAGCAGGTCCCGGGACTCGTGGCCTAAACGGCTGCCTGTTTCTGCGTGTGGCACTTAGGTTTGGACTCGGTCGAGATAATTTGCGACGATTAGTGATTCCTGCTAGAGCAGGCACCCAGCGATGCCCCGCGGCCCTGGCTTGGTGTAGCCCCCATCCCTGTGGCGAGTTCTGCGTCAGCGTGTTGGCGGCCGGGCGGTCTGGGTTCTTGCGGTGTGCCTGTCACGTCGGCCGTGCCTTCCAGCAAGGGCCGGCTCGCCCCCTCCCCTCACCCTCGCTTCCTTGGAGGTGAGCCAGTCCCCTGGAGCGCGAGGGTCACGTGATGGGGCTTCCAGACCCGCGTCTGGAGCACGGGGCATCGTGGGCTGGAGCGGGGCCGCAGCCTGCCCAGCGTCCTGCATCTCCAGCCTGGCACGACGCGGCCTCCCTCGTGGGGTCCCTCTGCTCCCTCAGCCGTCCTGCACGCCGGCCAGCTCGGGTCTGGGAGCTGGGCGCACAGGACAGGCGGGCAGACCTCGGGCAGGTCGGCGACCGCAGACCGGGCCCCACCCCGACAAACCGCACTGGCCGGAGCAGTCCCAGCGGGGACCTGCGGTCGGGAGGGCGGTGGCGTTTTGCCGGGGCCAGCAAGAAGAGCAGGAGCAACCAGTCTGGCAGGCGGCCTCGCACAGAGACCAGAGCCGGGACAGACGCTGGGTGGCCGGGCGCAGAGCCCGCGAGTGGCAGCTGGGGTGATCCAGGACACTCTCTTCCTGTCCCTTGGCGCTGAGGACTAAGTCGGCTTGTGGGCAGTAGTCTGAGGGTGGGCTGAAGAAGGGCCAGAGCCTTGTCTGAGGACAGTGACACCGAGCCTGCAGCCAGCTGACGAGGCTCGAGTGCGTCCTTCCAGGCTGCTGGCCACGTCTGAGACCGACGGAGCCACCACGTCCCTTAGTTGGGTGCTGCTTTGGGCGGCCCTTGGGAAGGTCCCCGGACAGAGCCCTACCACTCTGAACTAGCCCCCGTCCCCTTTCCCATCAGCGCGGCTGGCTCTCAGACCCCCTCCGTGTGTCCCCCAGGCGTGAGAGCAGGTTCACGTCCACGTTGTCCCCGGACAGAGCCCTGAATAACGAGTGAGTGGAACACCACGGCCGGCGGGGAGTGGCGAGAGCAGTCCAGCGGCCGTGGTCCCCCAGGCTCTGACCCTTCACGCAGCAGGCTCCCGGTGGCTGCGTCTCTGTCCCGGAGGGAAGTGCTGAGAGCGAGCGCTGTGTCTGCACAGCCAGGGTTCTGGAGGGCCGGCAGCTTCAGTGCCCCCAGGAAGGAGGTGCCAGGAAGCCGTGTCCCCACCAGCTTCTTGCTCGGCTGGGGGCAGACGGGGTGCTGCCGTCTGGATTCCTGCGGCCGGCGGGCTGACCCTTGTCCTGTGTTTCCTTGCAGCTGGAGATGGAGCTGAGGATGCTGCAGTGCCAGGCGGGCCCCGCCGAGCAGAGCGTCCTGTTGTCCAGGGAGGAGGTGAACTCGCTCCGGTATGTCCCTCGCCCCGCCAGCTCCTCTCCACTGTCACCTCCAGGAGGACACTGTCCTAAACCCCGCCCCATGCACTCGGCTTCCTCTGCAGAAACCTGTCTCCGCTGGTCTGGGCCCCGTCGGCACCCTTTCTCAGGCTGGCGTCCCCAGTGCTCAGACGTCGCGATGCCGTCTGACGGGCCCTGTCCGTTGCCAGCAGAGCCCCCGGGCCTTGTGCACCGTTTCCGGGGCAGCGGGGTCCGTGCGTGGCTCGTTCCGAGCCCACTCCAGAGACCAGCTCAGACCCGCTTGGAAGCGTCGTGCAGCCAGGCCCCCCCGGATCTCTGGATGCAGCACGAGCATAGGCCGAGTGGCTCTGGGGCCATCAGCCGGCTCCTGCTCCGAGTGCCACCTCGGAGCAGCGCGGCACATCCAGTTCTCACCCCAGGGGCTGCTTCTGCGGGTCGGGAGCCGGCCCAGGGCCCGGCCTCTCTGGCGCCTGCTGA